TGTAGCAACACAATGAAATTCCCAAATCATGCATACATTATTCTGAGAAGTAATGTCTAATGATCCACATTATTAAGATAATATGTTTTTAGCCATGGCATAGCAGCTCATAGAATGGCTCTGAGTTTTGTTTTTTCAAGTAAATACGTTTAGCTCATAGCTCAATCATCTCTTGACCGATTTGAGATCTAATTATAGTTTTGGACTCAGGATGTCAAATCCTTTCGATTGATGTATTTGACCACCCGAAGGATTCATAGATTAATTTATTCTAATCCTTCCTAAAAGAATTTCAAGTGTCACAGCTAATGAGGATTCCCTTTTGATTCAGAGTTGTTCAACTATAATGTTTTTTTTAATTGTGTCCATAACGTATTATGCAGTGGGTTTTTAATACCACCCATAAAGTACTGATCTATCATTCAACGATTTGTTTTGTAACACTGGTGGGGTGCTGCACGTCTAAAGTAATGCAGATTTACAAGTTTAATGAATGATAACAGATTTTCTAATTATTAGGCATTATCACAAAGAAATTAATTTCCACATTTCACGAATTAACTAAGAGCAAATCTATAAATGTATATAACAAGCTGATATTAAGAATGTGTATTTCATGTTATCTCTTTAATCTGATTTACTTAAAAATAGAATTCTAGAGCACGTAAGAAGATGCTGACAATCATCTAGGTAATAGAAACATATAAACTGTATTGTTTAACGAATTTTACTTGCTTAAAAATACACATTGTATTCATCCCAAAATATTGGAAGGTAAATACTGAACAAGTCATACCTCACAAACATTGGCTACCTCTGGATGAACACTCTGGATGTGATTTCTTCTAGGTCCGGGTTGGACAAAGCTCAGTCCACAATACTTACACCTGTATTGATGGCTCTCAGTTTCCATGTGTTTAACATATATAGCAAAGAGTCCAAACCAAGTGAGACACACCTTACAGCGGTAGTTGCGAGGTTCACTATGAAAGTACTTCTCCTAAAAGGATTAAAACAACCATTTCTAATACAGTGTTTTCTGAGTGAAACTACAGTAGGCTTAGGGCACTTATTTTCCAGTCAGGATCATTAATGAAAAATAACAATAAACAGGAACATTAATCTAGATGAGTTAATAGGTGCTCACAGGCAACTGATTATATGAATCAACCACCCAGCTCTAGTTATAGGGTTTTGATCCAATACTTTCGGTTGGTTTCCTTTTAAATCACAGATGTACAAAAACACTCATTATAAAAACTCACATTCATGACAACAATAAACAAAATTGAAGGATGTATCATTAAATAATAATAAACTAAACACTGAGATTGTTCCCAGAATGAAGATTCTGTGAATTTATCAGAAAGTTATACTTCTAAAGTTGGACAGTTTCTGTTAGCTCTCCAAATTCACCAACAGTTCGATGTCAAATTATAAACTATGCTTCGATGTCAAATTATAAACTATGCTTCGACGTCAAATTATAAACTATGCTTCAGTGTCAAATTATAAACTATGCTTCAGTGTCAAATTATAAACTATGCTTCAGTGTCAAATTATAAACTATGCTTCAGTGTCAAATTATAAACTATGCTTCGACGTCAAATTATAAACTATGCTTCGACGTCAAATTATAAACTATGCTTCGACGTC